CATAGTGATTAATCACAAAAACAATATGTAATTATGTATGTGTTTTCTGATGGTCTTAGGCGACCCCTGTGAAAGGGTTGTTCGACCCCCAAAGGGGTCGCAACCCACAGGTTGAGAACCGCTGCCCTAAGAGCTGAAGATAGTCTGGAAGGGATGACCCCGCCCGAGTTCCTAAGAGCCGAGCCTCTGCTCAAAGAGCCCAGCTTAGTCCGGAAGGCGGAGCCAGGTCCTGAAGGGCAGAGCCTAGCCCAGTGATGGCGAACCTATGACACGCGAACTCATTTTTTTGGTTGATTTTTCTTTGTTAAATGGCATTTAAATATATAAAATAAATATCAAAAATATAAATCTTTGTTTTACTATGGTTGCAAATATCAAAAAATTTCTATATGTGACACGGCACCAGAGTTAAGTTAGGGTTTTTCAAAATGCTGACACGCCGAGCTCAAAAGGTTCACCATCACTGGCCTAGCCCCTAAGAGCCTACTATATCCCCAAGGAGTTGAGAGGCCTGAAGAGGTATAGCTAGTCCCCAACGGGTGACCGTAGCCCCAAAGAGCCCAACTTAGCCAGGAAGAGTTGAGCCCTGAGCTGAAGGGTAGAGGGGAAAAATAAAAGGAAAAGAAGGTGCTGGAAGAAAAAAAAAAGTGCTGGGATAGTTAGCAGTCAGGAGGTGTTGGCTTGGACACTTTCTGGGGTCCTGAGGGGCCTGGGGGGTGGGACAATGGGACAGATAGCTGGTCCTCACAGCTTGGGACAAGAAGCTGAGGCCAAGGGCACAGATCAGTCTGGGTTGAAAAATGATTTGAGGGCTAGGACCTGGGATAGGGGAAGAGGCTGGACCTCCTGCCTGGTTTTGAAAGGAGGTGGGAACTCAAGCCAAACCGCCACCTCCATCACAACTCCCCCCCCCCACACACACACACACTGAGAGTTGGGGCTCCACCCAGTGCGCCAGCATCCAACCTCCAGGCCTTTGCTTGTGCATTCACTCTACCTGGAGTTCTCTCCCTGACGACAAACTCCTATTCATCTGCAAAGCCCCAACTGCGACTAGGAAGCTTCCTGACTGGCAGGGAGAGCTGGACCCAAACACCCCTGGTTCCAAAGTGGGGGGTCACTGGTAATGAATCATCTCAGCAGGGTCAGAACGGAGGGTGTCTGAGCAGGGCTTGGAAGGGCGCAGAGGAGTGCGTCCTGTGACTGTAAAGGGAGATGGGAGATGGGGTGGAAATTTTGGAAACCTCGTCCCTCCCGTCCTGATGCTCTCTCTTCCCTCTCCAGGTGGGCATGACGGCTCCTGGGACCCGGCGGCACATCTATGACACCAAGCTGGGGACCGACAAGTGTGACAATTCCTCCATGTCTCTGCAGATGGGCTACACACAGGGTGCCAACCAGAGCGGCCAGGTCTTTGGCCTGGGCCGGCAGATATACGACCCCAAGTACTGCCCACAAGGCCCAATGGCTGACGGGGCTCCAGGGTCAGTTGGCGACTGCCCAAGCCCAGGGAAGGCCCCGGAGTACCCTCCGTACTACCAAGAGGAGGCGGGCTACTGAGGCCCCATCCTTGCAGAGTGTCTCCTCACGCCATCGTCCCATCGGGAATTTGGGGGTTTTCTACGTTTTCATCTTGTTTTTCTATGTGTTTAAGTTGAGGGTCTGTGAAAGCCAGATCCAAATGCATATAGGGTGGGGGTCCCTGCTAGGGCACACCCAGGTAGCAAATTTCCCAGCAGGCTTAGGGCCA